GATTCAGTTCTTTCAGTATGTTCCCCATTTTCTGCCTTTGGGTCTTTTTTAGGAAGCAGAAACTGATTCGGATAATGAAGAAGAATATTTCGGACAACAAGCGAACACATACGAGGAGGAAGCTCCCCTTCTAACCTGGAAAAATCTTGAAGTCCCTTACGAGTTTGACAAGAATTTAAGTCAGTTACTGCTCCTGAGTATGTAGGCTACATAAAGCAAAAGTAGAGAAAGTTCCATTGCTATGTTCTAGGTAAACGGGCCAAGTCTGCCTTCAGGAAGGCAGCGAGATTGTGGACGAACTTTACTTGCATAAACATCACAGAAAGAGAATATGAAGAAGAATACGAAGAGGAAGAGGAGGAGGTGGAAGATCCGTTGATTATTATGATTATCTTATGGGGATGGCGTTGAAGGCGATGCCGAACGGCGACGAAGACACTCCTGATGAAATCTATGTGGACAGCGAAGACGGTAAGCCGATCGAAAATGGAGCAGTAGCAGTACGTAATGTGCTAGTGTTCCAGGTGGTTACATCGAAGTACATGGTGGAGATGGATGTAGGTCATATGTCGGGAAAATACCTCTCCCTTCAGGATATAGTATGCCGCAGAACATCACACTTGGTCGAAAGTGTGAAACGGTATCCTGTTGGATGTAACTTACAGAGTACAGAACAATCCTTGAGATGCTGGTTACATTTTTGATCGCTTCAGATCGGTACCGCTGCGCACGAGCTTGCTCATGCTCTTGGACTCATTCACACTCACGAAAGACCTGACCGTGACGACTATATCACAGTGAACGAGTCAAATATTGAAGTAAGCATTGTAGGATATCAAGATCATGAAAGAATCATCACTCTAACGTGGGCTTATAGAAGGGTACCAGAACCAATTCAAAAAGAAGTCCAATAGAAGCAATGCCAACTATACTACTACACCATACGACTATGGCAGTGTGATGCATTACGGGACCAAAGCGTGAGACTCTTTCGAATACATGTATAATGAAAGAAAACAAATGTCTACACTCTCAGCGGTTCCGAAAAACAGAACAAAGCAAACGATGGTGCCTAAAGATGGTTTGTACACTCAGACTCTAGGTTCTCTTCTCGTCTCTTTCTACGACCTGCTTATGATGAACATGCTTTACAATTGCACTGGTAGGTATATTTTGAGCAGGATTCAATCGCGTAGTTGTTTGATAGCCAAAGGTGCTTTAGACAGATGCAAAAACCATACATCCACAAAATGCAAAATCACGGATTCCCTCATCCACGTAAATGCTCCGAATGCATCTGTCCCAGTGGGTACGGTGGACAATTCTGCGAAGAAAGAGTGAGCTTTCTTCTGTAGCTCAAGCCTACAAATTTCTCCAAGGAAGTCAATTTAGCCAAGAAATCTGCGGTGAAGAAGTGAATGCGACCAGCAACTGGACACTGCTCGTCACTGCCAATTCTTCGGCTATGACATACGGCAGCCAAGATGGGTACAAAAAATGTGCCTATTGGATTAAAGTGCGTGGGTCCAGAATGGTATTTTTGGGGCTAACGGAGATGCTTAGCAAAAGATCATTTTTAGGCACCAAACGGTTCACATGTAGAAGTGAGACTTAGGAAGCTTCCAGAGAACGTTGCCAAAGAAGGATGCATACTTGGCGGGGTTGAAATCAAAGCTGGCAAGGATCAAGGTCTCACCGGTTACAGGTAGTAGGCAGGATAAACAATCAGACGTAATAATTACTCGAAACTTCTTTCAGGTTCTGCTCAAGTGACGACGTTAATCGTACACTAACATCGAATACGAGCACTCTGCCCGTGTTGACGTTTATGCGTCGAAGACGGAACGACACTGCCATAGAACTAGAAGTACCGCATCGCGAACGAAACGAAGTAAGAAGTGAAGTAGAAAATTCGAAAACTGGAATGTTTGGCATTTTGGATTGCAGCTAATCATAGTGAATTTCTGAGCATATTCTCAAAACAACATGAAAGTAATAGTAATTCAATAGAAATAGCAAAGGCTATTCAAAGCACTGCTTCGTACAAGTTTAAACATTTTCAGAACTTATTCACACAGCTGTGAAGCAGATCTAACACTTTCCCTTCATCGAGCGACTTGTAGCAATTAAATGAGAAAAAATTCTAAGATTACCTCCTTGGATTGTGGAACGTTGTGCTGGTTCTCCAGCCCTCATATGCTGATACCACAAAGTCACTAGAAGGGTGTTTCTCTGAAGTACCCTTCGTGGGTTGTGAGTCACAGAGATTATTGGTCTTCTTCGAAATGCATTACGCTGGTCAGGGAACATCCTCCCTAATCACAGCATTCTGCATATACGTTTCTGACAAATTTGAACGTTTACGAATAGCTTTTATTT